TAACTGAGTTTGCCAACACGTAGCGGGCCTTAGCACGCACCGCCCAAAATGTGCTTCTGCTTAGCGAGTATGCACAAAAGACACTTTGCAAAAAGCGTAAAGTAGCGGAGTGTTTGCAAGGATTGGAGTTAGGCCAAGTATTTACGAGTGTGAAGGTCAGTCACTGAGCCAGGTATTAGGGGGGTGCCGTGTGGGTAAAACAGAGAGCGGCCGTAGAGTTCAGCTCCATTACGGGGTACTATAATTTCGGTTCGGATGTGAAATTGGTGGTTAATTTAAAGAAGGACTGCAGACAAGAAAGAAATGATTGATGAAGGACACCTGTTATGACTAACAAGGGTCTTGATTTCTCTGGAATTCGCTGAGTGAACCGAGTACGAGTATGGGTTCCAGTTAAACAAAACACTGAGGCCAGCTTAAGGCTAAAAAAGCTTATATGCGCCATTTGTGAATGCCAGCATCAAAGAATGGTAAACTGTTTATACCTTATCTGTCTGTGACTACCCCCAGAGAAAGAGAGGAGCCGCGTTGAGTTGTATTTAAATGAAGAGGTAGACTTCGTATGGTTGAAGCCTTTCAGCACGAGGGTTAAAAAGCAACACGGGTTAATGTAAGACCATGCTAATTCAAACGTTTTCGAAAAACGAGAAGAAAATACAGTTTTCCTTTGCCTATATTTCATGACTTGCCAGATAACTGTCACATCCAGGACAAGTTAACTGTCACATCCGGGACAAGTTCAAATCAGAAGCCACGAGCAGGCATCAGCGCCTCCTTATAGTTTGATAGCATGCCCGCAACTACTTTTCCTCCCACCTTTGACTGGGCCCTATCGCTTACTCTTCCTCTTTTCCTGCAACAACAAACAAACTCTTCACGTGGACCCAGCGCCTCCATGAAATCTTCATTGCCTACAACTCGTGGCTCCCCCAAACTCCGCGATTATAAATCCTGTAACAACTCCGTCCTCAAGTAATAATAATAATAGCAATAATAATCATAATAATAATATCAGACACCACTTCCAATGCTCAGCTGTTTACCGCACCTTCTCAAATTATTGGTGAAAAAACCCGTGGCAGCTCCAACTACCGTACGACAATTATGCGGTTCTCGAAGCTGATGGTGACGACGAATGTTGACAAGCAACATTGTATCGCAGTCAGAGGCCAGCCACAAATAGAGCGGAATGGAAGCGGATTAGAAAAGTAAAAGAGGTTGGCAGAGTGCGCTGAGAGTAGTAAATTCCATGCGCAACAAATCAACCAGCAGCAAGAACTTGTTGCGATCACTAATTACAGTAGCAATGCAGAGATACAATATCGCAGACCCAATAATCTTGTGGTACCTGACGTGGATCTGTAAATGGCAACTTCCTAAACCACAGATGAGAACACTGGCCTCCCGTCTGTCAAAAATAAAAATAAAAATAAAAACATACCTGGGATAGCCTTAATATACTCTGCGATCCCCATGGCCCACATCGACGAGCATAGCTGTATTTGCCTTTGTCAGAAGAGAGGCTACACCACACCAAAGCCCATTTCGTCAAACAAACATGGAACATTTATCTGCTGCTCCTAGGAGTGTACACGAAAGACTTGACCGCCATGCACCACTTGTTAACTCAAAGCTGAGAGCGGTGTTTCGGGACTGGTGACTATTTTCCTTAAACTTAGTTTCTCTCTTGGTACTGTCCAACTCGCGTAATAAATATCAGATCCGCCAGTGATCTCAGGTTCACACCCGTCTGCCCTTATACAGATGATTTCCACGACCACACCACCGCTCTACGCGCTTATATCGGCTTTCTCTAGATCCCGTATATTTTAATATCGTATGTAAGCAAACCTAACTCTTGTTCGCTAGTCTACCGAGCACAAATCCACCTATATCTTGTTCCACATAATCACTCGTCA